TAGTGGGGCCACTATCAGAGGAGGGGGGCGGGCGGTGAGCGGCGAGGTCATTCAAACCACGGGACGCATTTGCAAAAAGCCACACAAAAAACCGCATGAAATCACATAAATTAAAATAACTCTATTAACCTGAACAAATTTATTATTTTGACCAAAGGATTTTTTTTGTTTTCGGTTGCGTTGTGGCTGGGGCGACAGCGGTAGCAGGAGCAGGGGTTGGTATAGGGATTGGGGCAGTACCAAGGGGCGGTCTCGGGCTTGGGGGCTGTTGCTGGTGTTGAGTCGGGGCGCTGGGTATGGGGTGGCCAGTTATATATGGATTTTGCTGTGACAATGAAGCGCGTGACTTAAACAAAGAGCACCGCAAAAGAAGAGGCGGCTTACGAATAAATAGAGAGTGGGGGAATATGACAAAAAAAAAAAAGAAGAGATATACGAACACTGAAGGACTGACAGAGACGGCGGAGCGGTGGAACGGGAGGTGTACTCTGAAAGAAATAGTGGGATGATATAGGACGAAGGAACGGGACGGGACGGGACGGGACGGGACGGGACGGGAGAGACTGAACACAGAAAATCCTGTCCCATTTTTAGTTGCTGCTTTTGTTATGGAACGTTTTGCACTCCCCCCCTCTCTCTCTCTCTCTCTCTCACTCTCTCTCTTACTCTCTCTCCCTGTTCTTTTATGCTTGAAAAAGGTATTGACATTTTGGCTAGATGTTTGCAATGCGCCAAAGGCAACTTCTGAGCCAGAGATTAAATATTAAAAAATAAATAAAAACAGCGATAATCGTGTAAAAAAAAACTATGCAATATTTTCTATAAGATTAAATATTCAAGGCTTAAGTTGGATCAATCTGAAAGGGTAACAAATGCTTCGGCACCTAGGGATGGCCTTTTGTTGCCTGTTTTTCGTTGTCGCTGCGAAGGCAAGCGGCAAAATTTATTACCCTTACCTCCTGCTGTGGCGCCTCCACTACAGTGGCCAGCCCACACCACCCCCCCACCCTTTAATTGTGCGCCATTTAAGCACCTGCTGTGAATCGGGGGCAGAGCAGAGCTGTCCCTCGATGGAGCTGCCTCTCCTGGGTGCCACCCAACCCCGGCCAGACCTCACATGTCCATACATCATTGTGCCGCAGAATGTTTATGACCCTTATGGCATGCCCTGCCCGATACCCCTACCCTTAGCAGCCACATCCCCTACAGTATGCCCATATTTTTCTACCCACCCCAACGAGCATTTAATAGTTTTGGCGCGGCATTTTCTCGTAATGCTTTATTTATTTTTAATCATAGAACAAATACGAGCAGCCACCGCCCCACCCTGTCGCCACAGTGGAATCCACCCGATCCGATCCAGTTGCCCCCTCGCAAAGGCAAAAATATGGCCCATCATTTGTTCAACGATATGTGCAAACAATTGGCGCATTAAAGCCAAAAGCGGAAAATAAATTTTCATTCAATTGAATGGAACAGCAGCAGCAGCGGCAGCAGCAGCAAAAAAAAAAAAGTGCTCAGAGCACGTGAAAGAGATGGGCCAAGGATAATGGCTAGAGTAATGACTTAGGATCATAACCCAAATAGGCCGTCCAAATAAATAAACTTAAGCCAGAGTTTACCTGCAGCTGAAAGGTAATTTCCCCATTATTTTCCATCCTCCTCATGGGAAGTTTTATTTAGAAATAGCAGCAGAGAACGCTACAAAATAATCGAGTATATAAATTGGAGCAGAGCTTCAAGAACAAAATACAAAATAAATAGTTACATTGGAGAATTCCGGATTTCAGCTGTCACCTCTTGAGCCATCATGCTGCCAGTTTTCTCGGTCTCTTTTCTACATTTCTTCCATCGAATGGAAGTTCTCTTTGGTTTCAGATTTATTGCCGGCAGCATTTTATCCATTTGGCTGAGACATGTAACAATTATCATCATCGTCATTGTTGATGTTTTGTGTATTTAAATAGCCATTTGATGGGAGTGACTGCATTTAATTCCCGAGCTCTGATCCATGGCCTATGGTCTGTCATATGCAAAGTCAATTAATCAATCATGTTTGAAAATGCTCAAAGCGAACGTTTTACTCCTCTGATATTTTTTGTTCTCTATTTTTATATGTAGTTTAATTTGTGCTTGTAAATGGTTGAGTTGAGTAAATGGAAAATCAGAACCAAACAAAATCAGAACATCAAATGAAATTGTCCAAAATTATGATAAATGTTTCTATGCGAAAATTGAGTGTACAAATTGTGGAAATGATTGGCCAAGACCAATGGGGAGAATCAGACAACTGGAGAGTGAACAATGTGGAGTGCCAAATGGTTAAAAGAGTGGAAAATCAGCGAGTAAAATTCGCGATAATGGCCAGAATTTAATCTACCATATTCGTCATTTAAAGTTATATTTCTCGTGCATAATATTAAAGAAAGAAAGCTGCTCAAATAGACAACTGATTCACGGTTGGTTAAAGTCATAGATAAATTATCATGGCAACCAAATCCCAACCCAGTTCCAATCCCAATCCACTTCCACATCCTCTCTCACTCTCTCTCTCTGCCGCCGCTCTGGATGTTGCCATAGTCACAGGCTGAGCTGCGAAATGAGAAACAGAAACCGCATTTGTTGCTGCCATTTTCGCACCTTCCTTTTCTTTTTATGATTTCCACACTTCCATTTCCCATTTTCCGCCCGTTACTTGTTTTTTTTTTCCCCCTCTCTAATTATGCAATATTTTTTTTTTGCTTGTGGCGTTTGCTGCCTTGCAGATTTAGCGACAATTTCCTGCTTATGTGGGCCATTTTGGCGCAGCCTTAAATATTTTTCCTAGGCTTTCTTGCTCACTGTTTTTGCATAATTGATTCGATTGCCTTTCGCTGCTTCTAATGCCAGTGGTTTAGTGGCGAGTCGCTGAACTGCCATCATCAAATCGGAGGTCTCCCAAAACCCAACTCTTGTCATGATCAAAGCACGGAAAACAGCCCTCAGACACAAATTTTAATCACAACTTCCTGCATGAATTTATATTTTTATCTTTTATAGTATTTCCCTTTTTTTTTTTCTCGCTCTGCGTTGTTCATTATTATTTATATTTTTAGTCTTTTTTCTACCATGTCTTGGGGTTTTTTTTTTCTGTTTGATTTGCTGCCCGTGGGCTGGGCGTGGGAAAAAGCTAAAGGCGCTTGGCTCTCGCTTGTGGCCCCGGAAGACCTCAAAAGTGGGATGTGGTGGGGGCGGGGGACAGAGAAACACATTAGAATCATATGCGACAAATTGTACGAATAGAATGGAATAGTTCGGCAGGAAATGCCGCATATAGATTGGGGCAAATATTTAACTATTTTTTACACACCGTTTTACCTGTAATTATAGTGGCACTCGAGCAATTTTAGTTCGCTTAGTCCGATGTGGGCAGGACGATTGATTTTGTGGGTTGTGGGTGTGGTCAGCTTTAGGCCCATTTTGTCCACAGGGGGTGGGCTTGTTTGGTGCTTGCGCATAATTCATGTAAATCGCGAAATCGCAGCGCGACAATCGCCAACGGGTTCTGGCCAACTCTCTCGCACACCCGCTCTGCTGCGATGTCCCCAGCTCCTCCTAATACGCATAAATTTCAGCATCTTTATGTGTTTGACTGCCTGCTGCTGTCCACTGTCCACTGTCCGCTGTCCACTGTCCACTGTCCGCTGTCCCCTGTTGTTGGCTGATTGCTGATGGCGAACAAAACTAAACACTTTTAAGCTCATAAATTTTGGCAGCACAAAAGGCCCAAGCAAATCAAAACAAAACGCACAACCAAAATTGGCTGCCATTGGACGAGCCGCCGCAGCGGGATAGAAAGAGCAAGAGAGAGAGTGAGTGGAGTAGAGTAGTGTGCAAGAGAGAGAGAGAGATGGTGTATCTCATTTGAATATTGATATGATTTCGATTTTGGTTCCGTGGTCCGTGGTCCGCATTAATTAAGAGCCAGAAATTAGCGCTCGTGTTGCGCGCGTGCGCAGAGCAAGTTCATCTCGTATCGGTCTTGCATCGAACTCATATATGTATATGTATACCACCTCAGCTCGTATTGCTTCGATCTGCGATCGAACATATAGCACTGTCCGCCACTTGACATTTTCACATTAATCCACTATCGATTTGCGATCCATTTACATAAACAACAAATAAATATCTGACTCTCATCAGGCCTGGCCATAAATGAGGCAATCTCGAAGCCCGGACCTGGGGCCAGCCAGAGTATGCACCACATTTGGGTCAGTGAAATGGGAAAGACCAGCTAAAGAAAAGGAATATTATTTATTGAATGAGTAAAAATTAAATTATTTGTAAGCTTAATTGTGACTTGCCGCAGTTCCGTTTCCTTGCCAACAAGGATCTATTGGGGCAGTAGCTTTATTCTTGGCTTATTTTAGCAACTCTTCAAGCGTTAGCCATGAAAGCGTAAACAAGGGAAGGTTTGTTCCAAGTGGAGCTTGGAGTGTGGTTTTAATTTTCATCGGATTTTGTTCATGTCGCCTGTCGGCTTTAAACATCAGCTGCTTGGTTAGATATAGCGAGTTTTTGTTCAATAAATTGTTCGGTCAGCCACGGTCTAGTGTTTGTTTAGAAGACATTCTCTGAGCCCATCTAAAAAATCTTTAAAAAAAAAAAAGAACCTCCATTTATTTACATATATTTACTTTATGTCGATGCTGTTGCTGCCCAATGTTTATTAAACACTTCCGCCTTCTGATCAATTTTTCCACACCAAACAAAGACCGCGTTGAAAGTGGGGAACTATGCATTGTAATGTTATATATGTAATATGTATTTAAATTCAATTGATTAAAGCCTTAGAAGCAGTGCTGGGGGGCTAAACCTAACATCAATTAGTCATGGAACATTATGTACTTGCGAGTGTGTTGGTTCCTTTAGCTTACTACATGGCAGAACTATGTAACATAATTGCCAATTACATATTATGCTCGTATGAACTACAAATAATAGTCGAGTCTTTTCGTTATGCTGCTCATGCAATTTAATATTCCTTTTTGTGTAGTGACATCGATTGATGTGATTTTATATAATGGTGTAAAAGTTATTTGTGTAAAATGTTGTATAATTTGTATTTTAATTGGAGGTAATTAAATTGTACTATAATTGTGCGACATGGCGATCTGTTCGCCAGGAAAATGTCTCGTAGCTCTCTCTTTGTTTGTTTTGTTTTTTCATTGTTTTTTTCATTGTTTTATTTGAAGTGCATTTGGATAGAATGTGGCTTTTGGATGCACCGTGTAGTATGCCGATTGCTGCGATTATAATTTGAATTAGGATTAGGTTTTTGTGGCTTTTCTGTACTCACCGGCACGGGGCATAGCACCTTCAATTGAAATTTGTGTATTAAGCTGTCTACAAAATGGCAAAATAAAAACAAATGTATGAAAATATTTGCACCAAATGGCTGTGCAGCAATCGCACGTACCTTTTCGGGTGCATGGCCACGGGGGCGTCCCTTGGGCTTCCATTCGTTCAGTTCCGCACATTGAGAGATTTTGTCATAGGCTTCAGTCTTGAACTTGTTGTAGATGGCCGGCAGCTCGTCCTTTTTTGCCTTGCGTGGCAGCTTGGAGATGCGCCGGGCGATGGATTTCAGAAGGCGAGCCGAGCAGCGGGTGTAGTAGCCCAGTGTGCGTGTCCAGTACTTCTCGTCGAGACTGATGCCAGTGCCCTCGGCCACGCCCTCGCCATCGCCGTTGAGCAGGTTCAGCGTCAGGTAGAGCGAGGCAGCAGCAATCTCCGATGGCTTATAGTGGGCCATATCGTAATCAAGCAGCGACAATTCCACAAAGTACTTGCACATGCAGATCTGCCTGTCCGTAGCAGCGGCGGCCTTGCAGAAGCGCTGCAAAAAGTTCATCGGCAGCGGACGTGACAGATCAAACTTGATTCCCTTCAACACCTTCAGCTCCATCTGACGGAACTGGGCGACCGTGTAGGTATTTTCGGTGATTTTGGCATACTGCTGTAGACTTATCTTGGAGTGCTGCTCATATTTGCTGGCCAAGCATAGGGCCGTTAGGCCCAGCAGCTGGAAATCGGAACGCTTCGTGTTCTTCACCGCCTGCAGATAGCGATCGATAATGGCGACGGTCAGCTGAAAGATCTCGTCGTCCATTTTGAAATAGAAGTGCAGATCGTTGATCCAGTCGATGAGGGTGGCGCGCATCTTGCCCGTCACAGCCATCTGCCCGGCCAGATGGTTGACGCGAATCGGCTGCATGGCCTCCAGCCGGAAGAAGTTACTGTAAATATCGTTGACGTACGGATAGACGCACCAGAGGTCCTCCTTGTCGTCGGCATCGATATCTTTGATTAAATCAAAGGGCCGGCCGGAAAAGGACAGGTCGTTCACCACAGTCGGGGCACGCCCGGCCATGCCGTTGCCGACAACCTGCAGCTCCATAATAGTCCGTGTCTTCGGGCCCTCCTGCGGAATGGCCACGATGCCGCGATTCTGCAGATCGACCAGGGGAGCACGTTTCACGGCTGCCTCGGTGGACTTCAGTTGGCCTTGGTCTGCATTTTCCGAGTCGTTCATTTCGGCGAGCATTTTCGTGCGAAACTTTTTTTAAACAGATATTTTTTTCCAATTGGGTTTTTCTTTTTTTTGCTTTTGTGAGCCTACAACCTTTCGCCAAGTTAAATGAAATATAAGCTACTGGCCGTTGAATATTTATATTCTATTCTTTCGTAACTTACGCTCGAGAATCACTGCAAGGACTGGCTAATGTTTAATTTAGGAAATGCACAAATTTTATTAGCTCAATTTGCAAATTGGTTCAGCATGAACGGCACTTTTCTTTTTAGTGAGACCAGCGACAATGTATCGATAATACCCGCAGAGCAGGCGCTAGGGAATTTCGGTGCCATTCTACTTGGTAATCGGTATCTGAATACCGAATGGAATGAGGGAATGAAGCAACAAACTTAAAATATCAGCAAGCTAACTTTGTAAATCAACAAAACTATGAAAAAATTTTATTCTTATTATTATTATTATTATTATTATTATTATTATTATTATTATTTTTTTTTTTTATTTTTTATTGTGTTTTTTCCATATTATTTTCAGGCATTTCTTATTATATTTATTATAATTATTCTATATTATTTTCAGGCATTTATGTCTAGAGTTTATCAAAGTCTCATTCTCACACTAAAATCTCGCATCAAATTTGTGCTCATGAACTCATGTACTAAAGTACTTTTTTTAAGGATTATATGCAGTTGTTATCCTGTTCCCTCAGCCATAATTTGTATGCGCAAAAACTGTATTTTTTATTTCCCATTATTGGTAATGCCAGAAAATGGCATAAACGACCTTTAAAGCGCAAAAATATTCGTGCAGCGTATAAAATTTGGTCACACTAGCCTACAAAATTCCAATTTTTGTCTGCTGCATGCATTTCTAACAATAATAATTAAAAAAAATAAATTAAAACATTGTTTCACCTTCCAAAACAGGGATGATATTCGTATGGAACCGATAAAAGATCTTTTCTGTTTTACGACGAAGAAATTACTGGTAAAATAAATAAATAAAAATAAAAGTTTGGGGGCAGAAACTGGCAATTGGGCGTACAAAAATATATGTCAGGCGCAATTACAGCGCAATCAACTTAATTACTTTGAATAATTAAAGACACAGATGATGGAAATTAAGTTCATCGTCAGCTGAGGAGGGCTGAGGGCTGGCAGGCGCCAGCTGACTCAACTTGTCAGAGAAGAGAACATCTTCTGGCTATACGATGAGATCTGGTGGTCTGTCTGCCACTCATTCGGTGGAATCGCTGAAATCGGTGAAAATGCAAACAGTTGCGTGGGGTGGAGGGGCTGATTAGCCAATGGTCGAGGGCGTGGCTATAAAAAGAATGGCCCAACGATTTGTTGCGGAGCAAAATACCCAAACAAAGACTTGGTCTCAGGGCATCCAGCGAGAGGGATCAATGAAAAGCAATGAATGAATGAATGAATTAATCTGGGGCTGGCTGGGCAGAGCACAGTGCTCCCTTTTGTGGGTGCCCGTGTGCCTCAATTGAGAGCCGAGGCTGGGGGCAGAAGCTGCCAAATTGCCTCATTGTTGTTGCTAAATTTAAATGAATACGAGTGTGCATGCAAATGAAAAAGCAGCCCCGATTCCCATTCAAAACTCTAATACGAGCACAATAAAAGAAAGCAAGCAAAAGGGCGAAACCGGGCAAAAAAAAAAAAACAAACAAAAACTCATTTAACTAATAATTGCCTTGTTTTGTTAAATTTCTCCCTATGGGTTTTGCCTTTTGAATGATGTGGGGAAATCACATGGTAAATCGAGTTGGGTAGTTTGCATAATTTAGTGCATGACTGATAGAAAAATTTCAAGAAATAAATATGCCAATAAGATTTTTCTAATTGCTTCAATAAAAATAATATAAATAAAAAATAAAATGTATGACTACTTATTTTTTTATTTATTATTTATTTTTTAGTTTTATTGTTTTGCTCTAACAAAATTAATATTAATATGGAAAACTGAACGAAAGCAAATAATGCTCTAGCTGAATAATATACCTTAAACTTAAAACAAACAACAACAAAATTAAACTGTGTTATTGTTAAAATATTATTTATATTTATATATTTTTTATTTATAAATATTATTTATTTATATTTATATATTTTTATTTATATATATTATTTATTGATTCGATGATAAGCCAACTTCTGATGATAGCCATTGGAGGTCCTTGAGAAAAAGTGCAGCATTTAGTTGGCATGAGAGTCCGACTGAATGCTGACATTTTTCCGGAATGATCAATGGCACTTGCTTACCATAAAACGCCAGCGATAATCACAGAAAATCTCGGCGTAATTTCAATGGCTCTCTCTTTTTCTCCCACAGAGACAAAACAAAAAAAATAAAAGCAATCTCGGTAACAACAGTTACTCAACTTGGCTAACTGCTAGTCAGTGGGGCAGACATTCCGCCAGTTAGCCCGTCCAACAGAGCCACATGGCAAAAAGCATTCAGTCAGTCAATCAATCAGAGTTTGACCAGGCCAGGCCAGGCCAGGCCAGACCAGAGCAAAACTTCTTCTGGCTGTGTACAGCTGATTTTTCTCACAATAATTTGTAGTCCGCTAGGCTTTGTCAGAGACACCTGTGCGAGCCGAGTCCAGGGGAGTACGCCGTTCGGAGGTGGCCAAATATGAGCAGAGCCGAGTCCCAGTGCCCATAAATCTGTGGAGCAACTTTCCAGTCGACTGCTTAACAATTTTCAACACGCGCACAGGCGGCCAATGAGCGAAACTGAGACCAAGGAGCCACACCTGAGATTCTGTACTGTCTGGTCGTAGGCCATGGGAACGGCCTACGCTCCATATATTGTATACTATACCTATACTATACTTACTACTTGTGAAACGGACAGCGAACCGAACCGAACCGAACCGACCACGATAATGTGTAATAGTTCTATTAGTCGCATGTTGGCGCGTCTCTGGTTACAGCTAATCTCTTTCGCTACCAACTTTGGCGCTGTCTCTGGCGCTGTCTCTGGCTCTGGCTCTGCCTGCTAAACGCCTCTCATTGAACCTCCCATGAGAACCAAGAACCGGCTGGCAATGGGCACTGTGTACTGGGCATTAGCAGCACTGCAGCAGCAGCAGCAGCAGCAGCAGCAACACCAACAAATTTATCGTCTATTTTTTGGCCTGAATAGTTTATGGCTGGCGCCTCGACGACGTTACCATCGCCTTCGCCGATGCCGTGGCTCATTGCCCAATTTGGTGCGCCTGCCGAACCGGTTCGTTGTTGTTGGTGTTTTTTTTTTTTTTGGATTTTGTTTGCCGTTTTGGAACTCGTTAGCTTTATGGGGCACAAAGGCAGCAAGGCAGCCAGGCAGCCAGCAGCCAGGCAGCCAGGCAGCCGTCAACGGTTTGATTTCTAATTAAAACGGAAATATGTATTATAGGCCACGGATAAGTCGCACAAGACGGGCCAAGTATGTTCCATGATCGTCACAATTGTTGACATTTCATTTCGGCCTGCTGCACAATTTCCCAGTTGATTTAAATGGCAGATTGATGAAGATTCCTCCGGATTAATGATTAATGTAAGCATTCAAATATCGAACCATCAAACCCCACAGAACCCGAACCCGATCCATCAGTCAGCCCCGCTGGGTATCCATCCAAAGTTCGATTCATTTGCGGCATAGAAATTAGACATTGTCAAAGCAAGACATTTATCGTTTATCCATTCGATTCTGTGTGTCTATCTCAGCCTGTCATCTATCAGTTTTCATTGCCTCACGAGGCCCAAAACTATTTACGAGCATCGATCGGGGAGCAGGGGGTTTGTGGTTCAGGGCGGGGATATTTTTACAATTTTTTATGGAACGTTTACGAACTCCAAAATCCGCGTTTGCCGTAGCATTTTATGGCACCTGCCATGAATCGGCTCCACCTCGTATAATCTTTTTGTTCAACTTCAGGCCTCGCTCCTCGCCTCTCCTCTCCACTGCTCGCCCCTACAAGCCGTTTCCAGCAAAGAATAGAGTTGTCCCTGCGTTTTATAGCCACTTTATCGCACTTCCCCATAAAACTGTCAAATTTTCTACAAATGAAATGCATTTGACAAACGGCTTGGCTTGGCTTGGCTTGTTATTTTCTTTGGTCCAGGGGCTTTCACTCGTCAAAGGGTGGGCCAAGAGAGGTAGATCGCGCAGGGGAGCGACCATGGGGAACGACCCACGCATTTCGAGCAGCAGCTTACCACCAATTCCATTGTTGGGGAACCAACAAGCCAACCAGTCCAATATCAAATCCAAGATCAAGTGTTGGTCCGGTCTGCACAGCTCCATGGCTGACATGGACTGCATTGCCTGGAAAGTGAGTAGAGTCTCGGTAGAGTCCTGGCAGTGGCTGGCACCGGTTCTTGGCTGGCGCTGACCGGTGAGATCTTGATGCGAAATTGACTACTCAAAGCGACACTTGGGGCTGTGGTGGTGCAAAACCGATACTATTAGCTGATGAGCCCCACATTTAATGGCAGCAATCAACCGACCCCTTCACACACACAACTCTGGAGCAAACCACACACATACATACATATACATTTAGGCAAGAAGACAAAGAGAATCAGAGAAAGCTACTGGTGATGTACCCGCAACTGTCACCGATAACTTCAGGCGCTGTGTGGCTTAGACAGCCCTGCATCCATGCACTCCATGCCCATGCCCATGCCCATGCCCCATCCGTATTCACTTCCACTTCCACCTGGCACACCTTAACCACAATCGCACCACCCAAAACCCATTCTTCTTTGGAGTCTCTGGAACTCTGCCCCCAGCTCTGCTCTGCTCTTTGGGCTTTTGTGCATTTTTAGGGCTACGCGCCGCAAAAACCGCAAGAAATCAATTCCAAGAAATTGTTTGTCTTCCGCTGCTGCTAGGCCGGCCGCACATAGATGGATCCATATGTACACTGCGGGATATAGAAAATAAATCGGCTGCATTTAGCACGCTTCATTTTGGCCAAAAACTTTGTTTGGATTCTGATTCGGATGTTGGTCAGAGTCGTCTGGGCAGTGGCATCATTATTAATGGTGGATTAACACGGCATGAGGTGTTGAGAGTTTGACTGTTCGTTCCCTTTTGGGGTTAATTTCATCATCAGCGCTGGCCAACAGTCGAATGGAAATACAAATACAAATCAAAGCAAGTGGGGCGTCGCGATAGAGTGATAGGAAGTGAAAAGCGGACACGGAGTTGAACGAAAAGCGAAACCAAAACGGAAAGTTTATTGGGTGCGGAAATTCGAGGCGTGACATTAAATGTCTCCCGGTTTATGTTTATGTTTAATATGTATGTACATATGCAAGTAGCAGGTATGTGTGTTGTCTCTTCGCGCCAATGATCGCCACTGCTGCTAATGACAGCCGTTTCCACTTCATTTGTTGTTCCATTTTCCAAGAACGTGGCGGCGAGACACAACGAGAATCAAGAGAAATTAAACCACAAATAGTGATAGGCTAGGAGTATTTTTTGGCCATGTAATATGTACATTATACAAGACACAAAAGTGCGTATAAACTGCATATATTCTTTGAGATTTTTCCATAATTAATTCTGCAGCAAGACACAAAAATTCCGATGTGATTTCATTTATTTAAAAATAGTTGCGATTTATAAGCAAGTTTATTAATGTAAAAATAAGACAGAAAAAAGATAAATCCTCACTTAATTTGAAAATTTCATTTATTAATTAATTAATTATATTTATTATTATTTATTCATTTATTTAAAGTGATATTGGAATCACCTAAAATATGTTCACACGGCTGTCAGGGACTTGGATAACACTACTCGACACGAGTTTTCCTCAAGGAACAAAACCAACTTTTTCTTCAAGATTTCGGGCTTAGAAATGGTTTGATGATACCTCAAACGACGCATAATTAATGCACATATACATTACAAAATAGAGAACACAGAATATAATTTCTTTTCGACTTTTCCTGAGTTTTTAAAGTCAAAATTTCGTAAAAAATACCACACAAAAATCATAATTTTTGCATTTAGTGCTTTATATTTCCCAGACCGTAAGCTAAAATCACAAAGTGTTTGGTCTGGACTTCTAGCTGCTTTAAATATATTTTTAAAATAGCAAAGTTCTTTACAACCAGACGTAAGATACTAGAGTTATGTGCAAAAAAGAAGCGCTACCTCTGAGAAAGCTTTATAAAAAAAAACAAGTTTTAAAAAATTCTTCAAATAAAAATTTCTGCCATAGAAAGAAAAACCATAGTTCTTTATAAAAATGTTAAGTCCCATAATTATCAGAAAAAGTAGCTTTGGATGCTTGAGGGAAAAAAGAAGTTGGATTTTGTCGAGTAGTGTAACATCTAACTGATAGCCTCTGCACACTGAGCATATTTCGGTGGAACGATGGATCCATTTATTGGGTTGCTTTGCATGGTTTTGCCTGTTTACTCTGGGGAACCAATCCGACACTCTGTATGTTTTGCACTCAGCCAAAACTCAGCACTGCTGCCAAATATTCTGCGTTTTTTTGGTCAATTGGGTTACATTTCAGAGTCCAAACATTCTTATTGGCCAAGAAGTGACGCTTCAGCTGGAACTGGAACCAGTTCCTGCAGCGCCTTCAAAAATTAACACACACTCACATACATGCATGGATGCAAATGCGAATGCGAGTGTGTGCACTCGCACACAGCCAAATGTTTTTTGGATTTTGCGAATAATTGCAATTTACAAATCCAATAAAGAATGTCCGCATATATTTGTGAACTGTTTGTTGATGGCTGAAGGAGGGAAGCAGGTCGAGCAACGTAACCAAAAAGGCACATAAACTGTTTTGGGCCAAGTAGGCCTTGCCACGACACTCACACACAGGCACTGGCACTGGCACTGACACTGACACATGCAACTCTGCCGCATAGCAACAGCGGCATGAATCAGCTAAAACTGCAGATGTACATATAGACAAATTCTGCTTGTACATTTGCACATTTCTTTTCCATTTTTTTGCTATTAAATGAATCCGAATACGCTACTAATGAATTTTAATTCAATTTATTTGGTTGTTCAACTAGTTTTTACATACAGGCTATGGCTATGTACGTGAGTGTGTATTTGTGTGGTTGAACATCTTTGGTTTTTGACTATCCGTCTGTGTGTTTGTGTGTTTGAGTGTGTGTGCGTGTGTGCGGTTTACTCCTTGGGGCGGCGCATGGCCTCGGCCTGGAAGAGCACGCGAGTCTCGTACATCAGGCGGTTGCCGTTGTACATGATGGCGGCTTCGGCGTCGGCCGATCCAATGATGTTCGGCTCGCAAAGTAGCTTCTGGATGGCAAGCAATATCTGCTGAATGGTAACGTCAGGGCGCCAATCCAATTCCTCGACCAGCAGCGGCATGCAAATGGCCCCCGAAGAGAAAACATTAGGATGAAAAATTGGTGGATCGAACTGGCACTGAGGCGGAGTGATGGGATAATCGTTGCCAAACGTCATCTTGAGCTTGTAGTAACCCTTTCCCCAAATGGTGTCCTTCATGCCGGGGATGCCGCACTCCCAGGCGAAGAGATTCAAAGTGCCGTCAGGGTTCTTCATGGGGCGAGCCATGAAACCGAAAGGGTGCTCGCGGCGCCACTCCTTGCGCTGCTCACAAATAGCGTTGCTAGCCACAGAAGACATTCTGCACTCAGTTCTTTTCTGCACAAGAAACAGAAACAGAAAAAAAAAGAAAAAAAAAAGAGAAAAAAAAACCGAAAAAAAGGGTTATGTTGCGGAAAAGTTGAGCGAAAACTATTAACTATTGACTATTGGTTTCTGCACTCACCTCGATTGTATTATTCGGTGGAAAACGATTTACCTTCTTGCGGTTTTTTATCACTCTAGAAGTATTCACTCGGATTTACGAATTATTTGATTTTTTTTTCCTGAGAAAATTTTTGCTCGATACGCGTCACTCGGATGCCGGTTGAACTATGAAATATGGAGCAAATATGCCATCTTGAATCCCCCCGAAAATTCAGTTCGCTCACTACGTTGAATAGTTCATTTTAGTTTTTGTTCGGTTACCCAACACTGGCAGAGCGAGTTGTATAAATTATCACCAAATAAATATATAAATATTTTTTATTGGCATTCGGCGAAAATGTAGACTGGGAGAGAGATAGGCCAGACGCGCAGCTGTTCAAGTCTAGAAAAGGATCTCCAGAAGTTTTTTTTATAAATGGCCATCTAGCCAGTTCAAGTCATGTCTAGTCTAGTGGCATGCGGAACATTGCAAAACAATTTATATATCAAACAATAAACTGTCCAATATTAAGACTGTTCATGTATATATATATATCTACTCTATATTCATTCATTCGATGTTTTGGGCAAAACAAAAACATCGATAGTATCGATCTGACACCATCGATGTTTGTCCAGCTGTACGACTAAGCTTTACTTCCGATTTATGCTGCAATTTTGCTTAAAAGCACCTTAAAATTAAAATCTTTGCCAAGTAACTTGAACAAATGAATAACCGAGTGAGGAACTGTTTGCCCATTCATTGGGTAACATAGGACGGGAATATTATTGTGGAAGCGCGCCCTGGAAGGCGGCTCAGCCACGTGTGTCCGCAGTCTTCGCAAAAGAGTTTCTTTCTGTCGCTTAATGAAGTTTCCAATTGATCATTGTTCTGGTCACTATATACTAAAGTCCTTTGCTTTGCTTTCATGTGTCGCTGAATGTCGTGCTGCTGAGTGGGAACCCTCCAGAAAACTGATCACCGATGGAGCACCAATGGAGCAAGGCATGTGAGTTTGGTGTATCCCGGACACTTGTGAGTTGGTTGCCGGTACCTAGCTCTGGCTCATATTTATGTTTGTACGTATTTGATTGGTATTTTGTGTGTACATTTATGGGGCTGCCATTATTAATATTATTATTCTCTGCACTCGAGCATAATTTTGTTAGTAATTAGTTGCAACATCTTTGTGGCACATTCTAGTCTAGGCCCACGGCCAACCTCATTTTAAATTATGCTCTGAAATATGATATAAATTGCAAAAATATTTACCCCTAAGTCCAGCAATTTCGATTAAAATAGTTGCAAACCACACACACAGGGACACAGGGAGATCACATGGGGGAGCACATCCACAGCCACCTGGCTGTTGCTGCTGCAACCCTTGCAAAGCTCTCGTCTCGTCTCGCCTCGCCTCGCCTGGCTCTCTCCCTCTGTGCTGCTGGCATTCCTTCCTGGTCAGCGCAAACTAATTAAAAACAAGCGTTCTCTCCACTTGAGCATCAGGTTAAAATAGCTCTGCAGGAAGTGTTCTCGACCTGTGGACCTGTGGGTGGGCACACACACACACATCCATCTATGATGGGATACTACTATAGATGCAGAGATATAGATAGCCAGATGGCCAGCCAGGTAGGCAGGCGAGTAACAAATGAGGAGTCTGGGGCCCCAGTCAGCTATTTATAATTAGCCCAGACGATGGGCAGGCCAGGCCTGCCAACTGAAAGGGTGAGGCTGAGGGTGCTGCGGCTAAAAACTTTCTGCCCACACATTTGGGGATACAACAGAAATTGGAAATAAAACCGCAGTCCTCATACGTCACATTGACACCACAAATGATTGGTCTGAAAGTGTCCAAGTCGGATAGGAAGTGGTTGAAGGAAAACGAAATATGCATGCGCTTTGGCAGTGGATTTATGCCCAACCGATCTTAGCCCTTCGCCCAGCTTCAGCTTGGCAGTTGGGCAGTTGGGCAGTCAAGTGCTGTGTCCAACTGCGGCTAATTCAGACAGCAGTCAGGCCACTGCAAAAGTCTGTTTGGGGTCATTCATTTGCAGTCTCATTCGCATTCGCTGCATATCAGTTGCCGTAGTTGCCCCGCCTTTGCTCCCTTTGCTCCTTTGCTGCTCCACCTATGTGTGGTGCAAAATGTTGTCTGACTTGGCTAAATACTCTCGTACTTCATTTATTTTATGAATAAAACCGAAACAACGGGCCAAACACGAAGCCTCGGCCAAGTAGGCTAAGACAAAGGGCAATGCATACGAGTGTATGCCCCCAAGCTTACATTCTCAACCCTTAACACATAGCCACACACACCACACACACACACACACACACATACACACCCTCTCGACATACAGGTTGAAGTGTTGAGGAGGAGGACGACGACGACGACGACTTCCTGTTTATCTGTCAAGACTGCATAACTGTCTAGGGCCCCGGATGGAGCTGGGTGAATCCTGATTCCTGATGCCAGACTATCCGGCTCAGAGGACAACGGCAATGAGGAACACACACATACATATACATATACATGTACATATGTATGTGCGAGTGTACCGGGAAATTTTTTGCAAGTGGCGTCCGTGCATGCTGAAGCATCCACTTTGGTGCCATTCACATGGCGAGGCAAAGACGACGCCCTGAAGGGTCTACTCTATCCCTTCCTCGTCAGAGGCTCTTGCGGTTAAGCGTTTTATATTCCCTACCCAGAATCCCAGGCACCAGGCAGCAGGCACCAGCACCAGTCCCAGCACTTCGGCACCGTCTCGTAGCAAGATGCAGGTCCAAGAACCCAAAGCCTCAGACTCAGACTCAGACGGAGAGCCACAGCCTCAGCCTCAGCCTCAGCCTGTGCTGCAAGACAGGGCTTCGTCGACGTCTATGCGGTTAGAAATTCCTTCGTTTATATATTTTTAATAAATTTTAATACTGAAATTGTAGAAGCCAACCACCACCACCACCACCACCACCACACCCCTCTACCCACGCTCTCTCTCTGCTGCTCCCACTCCAGCCACTTTATGGGGTTTCTCTCGTTCGCTGGCCACAAAATTATAATTTTTATGCTATACACTTAAAGATAAGATTACAAATAATTCATAATTGGGTTCATGGCAAGCGGCGCACTGGAGAGGCAACACCCAACACCAATAAGCAACTAACAACAATACGTATAACGGGGATGGCGATGGGGATGGGGATGGGGCAGGCAGGTGGGAAAGGGAGAGCGAGAGCGAGAGCCGGTGCTGGAGCTGGAGCTGGAGCCGGAGCATTGTTGGTTGCTTTAGAAACTGAGCCAGGATCCCAGAGTCGGTTCAATTATTAACCTGAGTAGCAGCAGCGACGAAAGCAGAGAGGGGATTTGAAATATCACAGAAAAGGAGGCGGGGAACGGGCGGCACGGCTGTGCATTCACGTCGACCATGCTAATACCCTGTGGCTAGAAAATAGCCGTCAGTCAGGTGACACGTCTGCTGCTTTCTGCTCGCAGTCCTCCTTCTGCACTTATCCATTTTGTGTACCAGCAATAAGAGATTTTCCATCCCCTTGTGGGAGAAGGTGCCCCATAAATTTCGCAATCAAATTAAAGGCTTATGGGAGGGGTATTTATTTGTCGAGAACATTTTGGAATAAGGAATATCTTGCACAAGTTCATACTGAAAAGTATTGTAGCTAAATCCTTTTTAAATTTAAAATTAAAAATTCTTTGATTGTGTTACTCTGACATAAAGGAATTTTTGAATGGTCGCAAGTCGCGTCAGAAATTTCCATTAGCTTTGCCATAGTCAACGTAGTGACTTATCCTATCTATCTGCTTATCTAAGATCAACTTGTGGTGTGATCAAATGTATATGCTATTAATTTGGCTTCGATCAAAGCCTTTCGCGGCGGCACTTTGCTGCCTTTAATACGCCTGCCGTTGTGTATGGGATTTACGCGAGTGTATGCATGGGGAAAAATGTGGGTGCAATGAGGCATTTTAAAGTCAAAAACAATAATCACACCCACGGACGGCTCTGGCTTTGGCTCTGGCTCCGGCTCCGGCTCTCCGGCTCTGGCTGGGCAGCAGCTGCGAGTTCGAGTATGCAAGCAAAGTGCCGAATGCTTTTTACTGCTGGCTGCTGGCTGCTGGCTGGTGTTGTTTTCGCTGTTCTTTTGCATAAATATGAATAAATTAAAATCGGAATCAACATTTTGATATGCGCATGAAACTGAACTGAACAGCACAGCACAGCACAGAACGGGGAAACGGCGACGGCAGCCCACCCAAAAACCCCACCACGTCCAAACCCGTGCAACTCTTCGCGTCCTGTTTGTGCGGCTTCCCGGATACTGACACGGACACGGACACATGGATGGACGCACAGCAGAGGGGACAGAGAGAGAGAGAGAGAGAGCGAAAGAGAGGAAGAAGTAGAGGTTGTGGTTGGGGTGGAGGCTGAAGGTGGAAGGTGGAAGGTGGAAGGCGGGGGCCATTTTGTGGCCTGCAATTAAAAATGGCGCGCTGTTGCACATTTAATTATTGGGAATCGGCTTTCAGGTAATCATTGTTAATGGCAACTACGCTGCATTTAATCTTAACGTTGTTGTTGTTGTTGTTGTTGTTGCTGTTGCTGTTGTTGTTGCTGCTGTAGCTTTTGTTGCTGCAGTTCAGTGCAGTGTTTGTCCAGCCAATCGCCTTTAAGTTGGGCATATATTGACATACATATCTGGCCGATATATTGCCGGATATATGCACATACACACTGGCACACGCATTTATGTACGATGCTTTTATATATATATATATACATATGTAGATTATTTTTTTTTTGTTCATAATTTCATCGCTTCGCAGCCGTGTCGCTGCTCAAGCAGAAATTTCCAATTAAATGCAATAGCATTAAATAATGTGTGCCATGGGCACCCACTCCAACCCCCCTCCCACCCTGTCCACTGTCCCTGTGTCCTGTGTCCTGTTGCACCCATCAGTCAGAATTGATATTTTATTTTTAATCAATTCGATATTCACACACGCATTGCAAAAGTATTTAAATTAAAAAAAATATAACCGTGGAAGCGACCGGCAAACAAGTCAATAAAAAGGAGGCATAAGCAAACATGTATGCGAAGTACAGTGGCAGCTAAAATTATATTTACATGCGATCTGAATAATTGAATGCAGCTAGAAAATAGTGAATGCAGTAAAA